CCGAGAGGAGAATGAAGGAGAAGGGATTGCAGCATGACCATCCCCCCTGGGGGGTGATTTCTCGCTTTCTGTCTCTCTGTCTCTCTGTCTGTCTGGCGAGCGCACACGCCCTATAGCGAAAAACCTCTCCAAAAAAAAAAAAATTAAAAAAAAAGAAAAGTGGTGACCTTAAGGCCCAGGGGACATGCCGTAGGGGGTGGAGGGATCACCGGCCCTCAGCAGAGCCCTCAGTGTACACTAGGTTACACAGGGGCCTGGAGGTACTGCAGCCAAAAGTTCAGGTAGGAGGGCCTAGTGCAGACTTGGGTCAAGGTTTGGTTCCCACAAGGGCCTGAGGTGCAGGGATGGGCAAGCATAACCATTCTCCATGTAGAAGTGCTGTCCCATGGGTGCCCCCTTAAGGACCTGAGTCTGGGTGAAAGGCCCAGGTGGGCACTCCTACGGCCTGGGATAGAGGCAAGGGAGGAGGCAGCCTGCCCCAAGCCCAGCACTGCCTGGTGAGACTGGGGACATTGAACGGGTCTCTAGACCACGCACATGGAGGGTCTGGCCTCCTTGCTGAGTGGGCCTCTGTCTCCACCAGACGCTGCCCTTGCAGCTGATCCCAAAGGTCAGAGAGGCCTCAAAGAAGAGTGAATCTCGTCCTGGTCTCTGATCCTTCTGGATTAGACTTGGTGTATAGAGAACAGTCCAGAAAGGCAGGTTTTCCTGTAGACTGCCAGACCGGGGAAGGAGAGAGCCAGACGTCAGAGGCTTGGACAGGTCTCAAGGGCGAGGCCAGACCTGAGGGTCCCAGGAGCAGAGCCAGATGAGAGCCCAAGGATGCAGTACCCACCCCACTCAGTCCACAAAGGGAAGCTTCTGGGGCCTGATGTTCTTGGGGGCATGTTTAGTAAAGGACAGTATTCTACCAGGTGCCTCACTTTTTCAAGTGGGTCCATGGCATCCACTTCCTTCCACATGCTGACTTACTGAGATGTTTACCTGCTTATCTGTCCTTCTGTTCCTTTTCCCTTTGGATCAACCAGACAGGACTTCTAATTCCAATGCACACGAGGATGTTCTTGCTGTGGCTGCACAGTAGTTTTCTTCCGAAGAACTTCATTCGACCTGTATATCCTGCATGCTAACATGTTTTTGGTGTCTTCATTGCACGTGGACACAGTTGACATGTGAATTCATGTTCTGAATTATGCCTGAGCTGACATGCTCGGTTTTTTTTGCCAGGAGCTGGAGCAGCAGCTCATGATAGAGAAAAGAAACTACCGGAAGACTCTGAAGTTCTACCAAAAACTCCTACAGAAGGAAAAGCGGAATAAAGGTAACCTCCACTGATGGCAGCAGATGGCGTAGCAGTTACGTCACTGGACTCCCACATGGCCAACAACAGTTTGAGTCCTCGACCTGGTGGCTTGAAAATCATGCCAGGTGATGTGCATGTGTGTCCAAGATCCCAGGAGGAGAATGGAGAAGGAATTGCGGCATGGCCATCCCCATAGGGGGGAGGGGGTGATTTCTGACTTTCCCTTCTCACTTTCTCTGTCCTGTTCTCTGGGGAACTTACGCACCTAAGGAAAAAACATCTTTGGGGGAGGGGGTGGGTCAGCAGTTAGCATAATGGTTGCATTGCTGGACTCCCACATAGTCGACCACAGTTCAAGTCCCAGACCCGAAGGCTTAAAACTCACGTCAGGCTCATGTGTGTGCCTGCCGAAAATCCCGAGAGGAGAGTGGAGGAGAAGGAATTATGTATGGCCATCCCCTCTGGGAAGTGATTTCTTACTTTCTGTCTCCCTGTCTCTCCAGAGAGCGCATGCACCATATAGCAAAAATCTCTCTTTAAAAAAAAAAAAGAAAAAGTAATACCCACACGGATACATGCCACAGTAACACGCACTGACGGAGGGTTTCTGTGGGTCAGTGGGAGCACTCTCTGCCAACTCTGCTCTGCCCTGCAGGCTCTGAGGTGAAGACCATGCTGTCCAAGCTGAAAGGGCAGCTGGAAGAAATGAAATCAAAGGTGCAGTTCCTCGGCTTAGTCAAAAAGTACTTGCAGGTAAGTGGCCCCATGTTTCTGCTCCCCCTTAGCAAGGCCTCACATTCAGGCAGGTCTGAAGACACAGGAGACATGCTATATGGGAGTGAGGGGGTCTTACTGTCTGACTCTGGAAATCAGTCCATGTTCAGTAAAGAAATGGGCTCTGGTGTGAGGGGCCCACAGCACCAAGAGGGCCTGCCATCCCAGGAGTCAGAGGTGGGATGAGCAGCAGGCCGTGATGACTCCCTCCCTCCCTCGCCAGGTCATGTATGCGGAGCGCTGGGGCCTGGAGCCCTGCGCCCTGCCAGTGATCGTGAACATCGCAGCAGCTCACTGCGACACCTTGGACTTCAGCCCCCTGGACGAGTCCTCCTCCCTCATCTTCTACAATGTCAACAAGCACCCATGCGGCAGCCGGCAGAAGAAGGCACGGATCCTACAAGCTGGTACCCCACTAGGGCTCATGGCCTACCTCTACTCCAGGTGTGCAGGGTACCCCAGGGAGGCTCCCTTGTCCCCCACAGGTCATTAGTCTTTTGAGAGCAAAGGGAAAAAAGCTTATTCATGAAAAAAAAGAATCCCTGCAGAGGTGGAAACAAGTGGGAAGACACTCTTCCCCAAAATCGAGAATAAGTTTGAACTTTTTTAAAAAAAATAATTATTTTATTTAATTTTATTTATTTTAATTTGACCACACAGGGACAAAGTGAGAGAGAGAGAAAAAAAAACAAGAAAGCAACCCACCAGGTCTGGGACTCAAACCACAGTTGGCCCTGTGGAAGTCCAGCACCCTTAGCCACCACACCACCTGCCAGGTCCAGGTTAACTTCTTTTTTTTGAGAGGTTTTTGCTAGAGGGCATGTGCACTTGCCAGAAAGACAGGGAGAGAAAGAGAGATAGAAAGCTAGAAATCACCCCCCAGGGGGATGGCCACGCCGCAATCCCTTCTTCTCCATTCTCCTCTCAGGATCTTGGGCACGCACGTACATGCGCCCGGCATGAGTTTAAGCCACCGGGTCCGGACACAAACCACGGTCGACTACATTGGGGTCCAGCAACATAGCCATTACTCTAGCTGCTGGTCCTGGTTAACTTTTTTTTAAAACTAGAAAAATATTTTATCTTTTAAATTGACTGTATTAGCTGCCACCTATTGCTTTGTAAGCTCCTGGCTAGAGTGGCCTCTGAGCCACAGGTTTTGAGGGTACCCACCTGATAGCCTAAGGCACTCAGGGCGGACATTTGGAGAAGAGCTGGAGAACGCGGCCCTGCTTTATCAACTTCTGATGGGCTTCCTAAAAGAAATACACCCTGGAATTCCTCCCTCGCTCAGGAGCTCTCCAAGCTGATCTGAAAGTGGTGACACCAACACTGAGGGGCAGAAGGCCTCGTGCTCAGAGCAGTGGGGAATTTTCAGTGCTGTCAGTACCTCCCCTCTTATTTCTCTGGGTGGTCCCCTACCTGTGACTCTCCTGGCCAGGAGCATCCATGTACACAAACACACCCACACACAATTACACACAGAAAAGTCACACACATTCATATTCACACTCAGAACTCACACACATTCACACTCACACAGAACTCACACATTCACACCCCTACACAGAACTCTCACATATTCACATCCACACACATACGTCCACCACAGAACACTGGCAAAGCCCAGGGAGCCATAAGCAGGTGTGATTGGGTGGGGATGTGGGTCCGTGTTCTCACGACAGCCCTACCTGCAGCGACGCCTTCCTGGAGGGCTACGTCCAGCAGTTCCTTTACACCTTCCGGTACTTCTGCACACCGCACGACTTCCTGCACTTCCTCCTCGACCGCATCAACAGCACCCTGTCCAGGTATTGCCCTGGCGTCTTGGCTCCCTGGGTGGTAGGAGCTTCCAACTCAGGGATGGAGGGGCTCCCAAATGCCATGTTTAACTGCCGTGAAGGACAAGATTTCTCCCCTGATAACAAAGAGGGTGCAGGAGCTTGGGTAGGGGGCTATAGGAGGTCAAGGTGAGGACAGGAGAGTGGAGGGGGACACAGAGATGCAGAGAAAGGAACAGGGGCAGTAGGGAACAATGGCCCATGTATCGGTGAGCTCTGGAATGATCTAGTAACCAGAGGGGGCTTACCTTCTCACACAGGTGAAAGGCAGAGAGTGCTTCTTGGTGTGGGCCCCTGGTACCACCCAGCCATAGCTGTAGGTACAGGTGGAGAGATTGGTGAGACCTGAGCCAGTCTGAAGAGTCCTGGGCTTGGACCTGACCAGGTCCTCTCCTAGCTTCTGCCCCTCCCCTCAGCCCTCCTGACTTGGAGAGTGGTAGAGAGGACACTCCCTCTGCAGGGCACCCACAGCCTATGGACTAAGGTCAGGAGAACCTGCAGGAGGTCACTGGTGGAGGTACTCTGGCCTGTTGTCAACCCCAGGACTCCTCTGTGCACCCCCCTCCCAGGCCTACCCCCACAAACCCAGACTCAGTATATCCCAGAGAGCTCCCCAAGGGGAACTCTCAGCCCTCCAATTCCCTTCACATATGGAGTCTGACTCAGGGGGAGAGCCCACATGCTGCACCCAGCCCACTGCCAGTCCTCTCACCCCTCCTCACCACCCTGCTCCTCCCCCTCCACGCATCCTAAGCAGCTCAGGCCTGCTCCCATCTGCCTCCAGGGCCCACCAGGACCCCACCTCGACCTTCACCAAGATCTACAAGCGGAGCCTCTGCGTCCTGCAGGCCTGGGTGGAAGACTGCTACACTGTCGACTTTACAAGGAACACGGGGCTACTGGGGCAGCTGGAGGACTTCATCTCTTCCAAGGTAACCACCTCACCAAGCCAGCACCAGGCTGGCACTTTGGGCTCCCTCAATGGGAGGCAGCAGTGACCTCCATGTGCTTCTACCTAGATTCTGCCCCTGGACGGCTCTGCCGAGCACCTGCTCGGCCTCCTCGAGGTGGGCACAGACCGGAGGGCTGAGGGCACTCCTCGAGGTACAGACCTGGAGGACCCCAAGGAGGCTGAAGAGGAAGCCAGACCCTTCAATGCCCTCTGTAAGAGGCTCTCTGAGGACGGCATCTCACGGAAGGTGGGGGCTTTTCCCAGGGGATAGCCTCTCTGGACAGGCAGGTGTGGCCTTCTGAGCCCAGCCTTAAGGACATGGCATGTACTTGCATGTTCACACACATACACTTATGGGCATGTGCACACTCACACACATGCATATATACATATCACATGCATAAATATGTGCTCCCATGTACATATGCATGTGCCCCGACCTGTATACATGCATGTGTGCACAGTGTAAGCACATAAGCGTGCATGCACACACATGAAAACACACAGCTCGTGTTTCCAGTCCCAGGCACTAATCTGTGAGGCTAGCATTTCCTGCCCTGGCCTGGGAAGGGACAGCTGAGGGCCTACAAGATGAGACAAGTCCTGCTGTCTCACTGACCTCACCTTCCTGACCCTCGGGCTAGAGACCTGGGTGAAAGAAACCTCCGTGGGGAAATGAATAGCCTTCCCATTGACACATGGGAACATCCCCAAATTTCACCAGACCCACTGAAATGATGGATGGACATTATACAGCCCACACAGCTGTGGGCAGGAGGAATTTGCTCCTTGGCTGTAATGAGCCAGTCTGAAGAGTCTGGCCTTGATCTGGTCCTCCCTCCACCTGACTCCTGCCTGGCTCCCCGACCTGGAGGGATGTCTCTTAACTTGGCCTGACTTGCCCTCCAGAGCTTCCCCTGGAGGCTGCCCCGGGGCAACGGGCTGACACTGCCACACCACAAGGAGCGCCAGTACACCATCGCGTCTGCCCTGCCCAAGCCCTGCTTCTTCGAGGACTTCTACGGCCCCTATGCCAAGGCCAGCGAGAAGGGGCCCTACTTCCTAACTGAGTACAGCACCCACCAGCTCTTCAGTCAGCTGACATTGCTGCAGCAGGTGAGGGGTCAGCAGCAGGCATCACGCGGAGGGCATCAGGTTGCCCTGGAGCTCACAGGACCCTCAGTGAACACTCAGAGAATGGGGCCAAGTGTGCAGGTCCAGGAGAGCAACTGCCTAAAATGGGGAATCATTTGGTGAAGGGGCTTGGGTCTCCTGGCAAAACTGAGAAGCAGTTCTCTCAAGCTGGCACTGGGCTTGCAACCTGCCTCTGACTGGGCTTGGTCCCCCCAACCTGCCTCACAACCCTGCAACTTCCCTTGGTCCCAGCACTTCTACCTTATGAGCACTAGAGGGCACTCTTTGGGCCCCTAGACCTCCTCCTAGAGCAGAGCTAATCCATATCTCCTCATGCTCCTTCCCCACGCCTTCCTCTGCTCCCACCTCCAAAACAGGCCCTTGAGTCCTCTGTCTTGCAATAGGTGGCAGCAGTGATGGTGACCCAGTGATTTCACCTGCTGTCATCAGGGCTGCTGAACACTTGGGGAGCTCTGCTGGTACAGCCCTGTGACACAAAGGGTGGGCATTGAACCTGGGGTTGCAGAAATGGTCCCTAAAGGGACCAGCAGATGGCATAATGGTTATGTCACTGGACTCCCCTAGCCCACCAGTTTGAGTCCCAGACCTGGCGGCCTAAAACTCACATCAGGTGCATGTGTGTGTGTGCCCAAAATCCTGAGAGGAGACTGGAGAAGGGATTGCAGCATGGCCATCCCCTCTAAGGGGTGATTTCTTCCTTTCTGTCTCTGTCCCTCTCTGTCTCTCTGGCAAGTGCACATACCCTATAGCAAAAATCTCTCTTTGAAAAAAAAAAAAAGGGACCAGCAGGTGGCGTGATGGTTATGTCATTAGACTCCCATGTAATCTACTCCAGTTCAAGTTCCACACCCAGTGGCTTAAAACTCACACTGGGCACGTGTGTATGCGTGCCTAAAATCCCAAGAGAATGGAGGAAAAGGGATTGCAATGTGGCCATTCTCCCTCAGGGGTGATTTCTCGCTTTCTGTCTCTCTGCCTCTGTCTCTCCAGCAAGTGCATGCGCCCTATAGCGAAGAATCTCTTTAAAAAAAAAAAATCGCCCCATAAAGCTCCAACCCTTCTTGGGGCACTGCCTTGGCCACAGGGCCCAGAGACCTGAATACCTGTTTCCATGTCTTGCCCAGGAATTGTTTCAAAAGTGCCACCCTGTCCACTTCCTAAACTCACGAGCCCTGGGCGTCATGGACAAAAGTGCAGCCATCCCCAAGTGAGTGTCCACCCTCGTGACTGTGCGTGGAGTCTGGCCTAGGGGACGGGTGGGGGTGGTCTTGGGGGGCCTCCTCTAAGGGTCTCATAAACGATCTTGGGCTGAGGTGGATAGATGCCTGGGTCTCCCAGGACCCCAGGGCACCATGTCTACCAGAACCCCTCACATGCTCCAGAGCCCCCTGTAGCCCAGGCACGGGCAGGGCCCCCTTAGCAGGTGCCTGAGGTGACACACACCATGTTTCTCTTTCAGAACCAGCTCTTCTGAGTCTCTGTCAGCCAAAACCTGCAGCTTATTTCTGCCCAATTATGTCCAGGACAAGTACCTGCTACAGCTGCTAAGAAACGCAGATGACGTCAGCAACTGGGTGGCTGCGGAGATTGTGACCAGCCACACCTCCAAGGTTGGCACTTCTGCTGCTCAGCTTAGAGTGGGTGTGGGGTCCGCTCCCCAGGGCTGGGCAGCACCCCTGTGACCATAGTGAGATCTTCTCTAGGGCCAGAGAACCCAGGTTCATGTCCTCGTTAGCCACATTCGAGCCAAGGCAAAAAGGGAAACACCATCCGCTTTCCCACAGGCATGGCCTGTCAAGTCCCTGGCCTGGAAGGGGCTGTTCCCTCTAGTGGGGATGCTCCTCCTCCGACTTGAACCGCCTGGCTCACACCCTACAGAGCCACCACATTAGCCTGTGCTCACACCCACACACACTTGCTCACACAGACAGCCCCTCACGCATAGTCCCTCATGTGCTCATGCACATACTGTCCCTCACACTCACACACACACATTCCCTCATACAGTCCCTCACACACACACATAGTCCATCACACGCACAGCTCTTCACACTCCCACAAAGTGCCTCTCATGCACACTGTCCCTTACACAAACATAACACACGCACCATCTCACAGAGAAGGCAGAGGACAGGCTCCTCCAAGACTGAGACACAGGGTGGATTTCACTCCCCATCCCTCCTTGAGTCTGCAGGCACCCTGCCTGAAGGTCAGCAGGATCAACAGGAAGGTTGTTCGTCCTGGTTTGTGTGACTTATTTCCAGGACTGTTTGGTCAGCAGGATAGAGGAGACCTTCAGACTCATACCCAGCTTGAAAGGGAGTCACTGGGACAAGGTTCTTCCCATTGCTCCTACATCCCTGTAAGCAAAAGGCTAAAACAGAATTATTTCCAATAAGAAATATTCGCCCACAACACAGGGAACCAATGAAATTTCACTAGAAGACACAATTTTAACAAAACCACATGTCTGTTTAACAAGTATGTTTATCGCATTCTGAAATCCATGCTTTTTTGACATTTCCCACATTATTTAGTGTGGTCTGAGAACAATTTAGAATTCACATATATATTGTAAATCCCTGGTCCCAGAAATTTTTTTTCAAGAATTTTTTAAAATTATTTTATTTATTTATTTATTCATTTATTCATTTTAATTTGACCAGAAAGGGACAGAGTAAGAAAGGGAAAGTGAGAAAGCAAGCCACCCGGTCCAGGACTCGAACCACGGTTGGCCACATGGGAGTCCAACACCCTCAACCACCGCACCACCTGCCATCCCCTTTTTATTTAAGTTTATTCATTGTCATTATGTTTTGTTTTGTTTTGTTTTGTTTTTTGTTTGTTTTTAAGTTTACCTGAGAGACCGACAGAGAGAGAAGGAAAGTGAGAAAGCGAGCCACCAGATCTGGGATTCGAACCACCGTCAGCTACGTGGGAATCCAGCTGCCTTAACCACCATGCCACCTGCTAGCCCCAGAAAATTGCTAAAATACAGGAATCGAGCCAAGTGTGAGGGGATGGACAATAAAAACTCTCAGTAATAACAGTACCCTCAATTGCATAACAGACATATGAGGTCAAGTAGAAATAGCATAAAATTTCTCACCTTAAAGGAAAATATGATACCTTTTCTTAAATGAATAATGGTTGGTTTGAAAGAAAAATTGGATTTTGATTTCATTACATATATTTAAAAGTGATAGGACAGGGAACCAGCAGTTGGCGTAATGGCTATGTCACTGGACTCCCACGTAGTCGACCGCGGTTCTTGTCCCGGACCCGGTGGCTTAAAACTCACGCCGGGCGCGTGTGCGTGCGTGCCCAAGATCCCGAGAGGAGAATGGAGGAGAAGGGATTGCGGCGTGACCATCCCCCCTGGGGGGTGATTTCTCGTTTTCTGTCTCTATGTCTCTCTCTGTCTGTCTGGCGAGCGCACGCGCCCTACAGTGAAAATCTCTCAAAAAAAAATAAAAGGAGAGCTCACCTCTCCAATTAAAAAAAAAAAAAAAAAGGAAGATAGGACACAACAGTCTAGATGCACCTAAATGTCCATGGCCAGGTGTAGAGATAAAAAATGTGGTAGGTACATTCCTTAAAATATTTAGCCTTCAAAAGGGAATTCCGACACATGAAACAGTGTGGATGAATTTCAAAGACATCGTACTAAGTGAAATAAGCTAGTCACAAAAAGATAAATACCTCATGATTCCCTCTATGTGAGGTTCCTAGAGTGGTCGAATTCATAGAGACAGTAGAATGGTGGATGCCAAGGGTTGGCAGAGGGGGATGGGAGAGTTGTTTAATTGGGACAAGATTTCAGTTTTGCAAAATGAAAGTGTTTCAGAGATTGGTTGTGCACAACAGTGTGAATATAGTTAACACTACTCAACTGTACACTTAAAATTGGTTAAGAAGGGGGCCATTGGGGCCGGTAGTTGGCATGATGGTTAAGAGCGCTGGACTCCCATATGGCCGACCACAGTTCAAATCCTGGACCTGGTGCCTTGCTTTCTCACTTTCTCTCTGTCTCACTCTATCCCCCTCTCGTAAAATAAAAATAAATAGATAGATAATGTTAAATAAAATAATTCTTTTTTAAAAAAAAAATGGGGCATCACCCTTTAGCAATTAAAAAAACTGTGATGGAAGTTTTATCTGAAAGTGCTGGAAATTATATACTTTGCATCTATTAAACCTGTGAAGAAAGAATTGAGATGTCAACCTAAAAAGTGTGAGAGGTAAATGTTTTTCAAGATCTTCTAAGAAGCACTCAAAATGGACAACTCAGAGTCCACAGTCATGAATGACCTCCAGGGCCCATCGGTGTGACTTTCAACGACTTCGGAATTATGGCAAACAAAGATCAAGCTCAGTGGGAGGGCATCCATCCACTCCAGCCCACGATCACCCATCCCTTCCTGAAGGATGGCCCAGGCCATGGTGACAGTCCTCAGGGCAAGGATGCCCTAAAATGAGGGGTCAGCTGAATTCTCCACAATCTTCCAGAAGTCTCTAGAAGTGAGTCCATGACTGCAGCCCATTGAAGTAAGAATAGGTGCAGCATATGCCGCCGATGGGTGTGCCCATCAAATCCAACAATTTTGTCACTGCCAGCCAAAGAGCCACAGAGGAAACAATGGGACCACATCCTGGACTGCACCAAAAACCTCTCACATTGGACTTGGCGAATGGACAAAAAGCTGCCCATTGTCTCTCATTTGCCTCTGGAATTGTCACCTGTCTTCCCCAGGTGGGGACACCTTTCCTGGTCCTGAAACTGCGCTCACACCCCATTTGTCCCACTAGTAGAACAGATGGGAGCCTGTGGAGACTTCTGGAAAGTGAGGCCAAACTTCTTTTCAAATCTTTTCACTTATGAGCATTACCTTTTTGTTTAAAGTAATGCTCATCTCAACCTGCCAGTCCCTGCCCCCTCCACAACCACTACTCCGAGACCTGTGTCCACCCACCCCCCTCCTTTTTGTACAAATGAATATGGCACACACTGTTCTGTGCCTCGAAACTGGGTTATTTTAACAGGTTCTCAAATGTTCTCTTATTTATTCATCTTAGACCAGAAGACACTGCGTTGTTTTCTCATTTCAGCTGCAGGTGAACTTGCTGTCCAAGTTTTTGCTGATTGCGAAATCTTGCTACGAGCAGAGGAACTTTGCAACGGCCATGCAGATCCTGGGCGGGCTGGAGCACCTGGCCGTGAGGCAGTCCCCTGTGCGTCACCTTGGGGGCCAAGGGCTGTGGATGTGGGCTGGCACATGCGGGTATTGGCATAGCCACAGGGGTCTCACCGGTACTTCTATTTCAGGCCTGGAGAATTCTACCTGCAAAGATAGCAGAGGTCATGGAGGAGCTGAAAGCCGTGGAGGTACTAGCGCTGTACACGAGCTTCCCCTGACATCTTGCTCTGCATACCTCCGGGGGACATTCGCACACCAGCATAGTGGCACACCTGTGTCTATGGAGTTGTGCTGTGCAGCCTGTCACACTGAGAATCCGGGCCAGCCATCCCTTAGTGGAGCCTCTGCCACCTGCCTGGTCTGACTTCCCAGAACAGGCTACAGGTGCCCAGGGGCCAAGATTGAGGTCTGCAGACAGAGCCTGAGTTTGGCTGTCCAGGCCTTTTCTGGAGGCTCCCATCTCTGGAGCTCAGAGCTGGCCTCATGCCCTAGACACAGCTCTCCACAGGTGGGAGGACTAGGGGGTAAGGACACTGGGCATACAGACACAGGGCCGCTGCTGCCAGCCAGCCAGCCAGCCCAGATCTCTTTTGGTAAATTTGGACTACACAGTTCTTTTCTGGAGCCCAGCAGAAAATAAGGAAATGAATTTGCCATTTCAGTAGCAAGAAGCATAAAGCTCTCTGACAGCTGTCAGTGTCAAAGCAAGCTTAAGAAATCTGAACTTTTGGCCCACCATCCAATAATCCAAGGTACATTGTAGATTGGATGCTAACTCAGAGGGCTGTATAGCCATCATGCATGGAGAACACAGGCACCAACTGGAATTGGCTGGACTGAAGCTGGCCCCTGCCTGAGCCTCCTGAACTAACCACGGCCCTGTCTCTCCTATCTGTGCCCAACTGGGCTGCCAGGTCTTCCTGAAGAGCGACAGCCTGTGTCTGATGGAAGGGCGGCGCTTCCGGGCCCAGCCCACCCTGCCCTCAGCCCGCCTCCTGGCCATGCACATCCAGCAGCTGGAGACAGGGGGCTTCACCATGACCAATGGGGCCCACAGGTGGAGCAAGCTCAGGTGAGGAAGGGGATTCAACATGGCATGGGTGCAACAGATTCCAGTGATACACCTCCTCCTGTCCCACTTGTTCCTCAGAGGCCTGGGCATCTGCCACTACTGAGCCCTCATTCCGCCCCAAGGCCTCAGCATTCCCTCTACCCTGGATGACCTCTAGCCACCTCCTTTTCCCCACACTGCAAGCATTTCCCACACTTCAGGTATCCATGGTTCCAAAGTGCTCCCCTGAGGTGGGATCTCCCCTGGATCTCCCTGCATTGAGATGCAGGCTCACCTTTCACTCCCTCTCTTCGGTTTCTGCAGCACCAAGGCTGCCCAGATCACAACTCACCACTCAGACCTCGGATGCCACGTCATCCCTGCTCTCTTTGCCTTTGCCTGTTCCCCCTTAGGCCCCTCTCCTAAGAGTCAGCTATGCAGGGCCTAAGTTATTCCTCAGTCTGTTTCTGTGGCGCCACCATACCTGGCCAGCACACCTGGGGACCTGGCCACTCCATACACTGCCTGGGAGACACACTGGAAGGCTGGTTGTAAAACCTGCCACTCATCCTCCAGAGTCTCACATGCCTCAGACCATGGAGGATCACAGCTCTCGTTTCTGCCTCAGAAGGTCCACCCCATGCCAATCTCTCCTCAGACACCTGGGCCATGTCCAGAGTGCCCCGCAGGTACCCAAAACCCACAGACACTGCCCAGGCCTCCTGGCCAAGCCTTGCTTTCTTCCTCACCGTTACAACCTCTCACCCTTCCCGTTGAATTTTCTCTTCGTTCCTCTCCATTGTCCACACCAGTCATCAGGTGGAGGATGGTTAGGTCATGGCCCAACTACAACTCGCTAGGTCGCTTGGTAAATGAGGCACAGTGGTTTCCAACCTGCTACATGCAAGATCCCCATTTTAGGTAATCACCGAGTTAAAAAACATTGATGTTATACCACAGACCCACACATTTTGAAAAATCAGAAAACCCACGTTAGCAAAAAATAAATAAAAACTTAACACCATAGGGGCAAGCAGGTGGTGTGATGGTTAAGATGCTGAACTCTCACACAGCCGACCACGGTTCAAGTCCTGAACCTGATAGCTTGCTTTCTCACTTTCCCACTCCTCTCTGTCTCTCTCTGGTGAGCACATGTGCCCTATAGCAAATTTTAATAATAGTAATAAATAAAATTAAATAGATAATTTAAGAATTATTTAAATTTATGTATTATTTATTTGTTTTTAATTTTACCAGAGAGGGACAGAGCAAGAGAGAGAGAGAGGGAACATGAGAAAGCAAGCTGCCAGGTCTGGGACTCGAACCTTGGTCAGCCATGTGGGAGTCCAGTATCTTTAACCATCATGCCACCTGCCGGCCCTTAAATAATTTTTTTTAAGAAATAAGATAACACCACAATCAAACCAGTGGGTGCCAGAGGTTAAGGCAGTTGGAGCCCACATGACTGAGTGTTTTGTTTTGTTTTGTTTTGAGAGGTTTTTTTCGCTATAGGGCGCGTGCGCTCGCCAGACAGACAGAGAGAGACATAGAGACAGAAAGCGAGAAATCACCCCCCGGGGGGATGGTCGCGCCGCAATCCCTTCTCCATTCTCCTCTCGGGATCTTGGGCACGCACGCACATGCACCCCGCGTGAGTTTTAAGCCACCGGGTCCGGGACGTGAACCGCGGTCGACTACGTGGGAGTCCAGCGACATAGCCATTACGCTAACTGCTGGTTCCCCTGAGTGGTTTTACTCCCAGACATGGCAGCTTGAAAAATCACTTCAGGCACATGTGTATGTGAGGCCAAACTCCTAGGAGAAGAATGGAGAACAGATTGTGGCATGGCAATCCCTGGGGTGAAGAGAGGTGATTTCTCACTCTCTCTCTGTCTCTGGCGAGCGCCCTCTAGCAAAACTACAAAAAAAAAAAAAAAAAAAAAAAAAAAAAAAAAAAAAAAACGATAATGCCACCATCTATCGTAGGAAGAACATGGGCTAAGCATTGGCGTTTACTCTTAATGTTGTTGTGTATGCACACGTATGTATACATATTTGTCATTTAATTAACAACCAAAAAAAATGTGGTATCATTCATATGGACGGACTGTTTCTCCCTCCCAAATCAGGGACAGGAGTCTCAGGCTGTGGAGTCTTTGGCCTTCCCCAGGCAAAATTAAGTACATCTTCTGTTCCCCTTCTTCTTGGATTACACCCAGGGGTGTGCTGGGTAGTGTTCGATGACAGCTAGTTCTTCAGAGAAACACTCCCTGGTCCCTTTCCGAGGGTGTAAATTCTCTCACCATGGCCACATTCAAGCCTAACATGTCATTGAATGTGCCACTTAAAGAATCTTTGTCAGGACCAGCAGTTGGTGTAATGGCTATGTGGCTGGACTCCCTTGTAGCTCACCACGGTTCAAGTCCTGGACCCGGTGGCTTAAACTCACACCAGGTGCGTGTGTGTGAGTGCCCAAGATTCCAAGAGAAGAATGGAGAAGGGATTGCGGTGTGGCCAACCCCCTGGGGGTTGATTTCTCACTTTCTGTCTCTCTGTCTCTCTCTGTGTTCCCAGTGAGCGCACGTGCCCTATAGCACTATAGCAAAAACCGCTCAGAAAAAAAAAAAAAGGATCCTTGTCTACTTTGTCTTTCTCCTCTTCTAAGCTGTGAGCCCCAATAGCTAATGCTGGGTCGTAACCATGTTAGAATCCTTAGCACCAACCAAAGCCTGACGCAGTTGATTTTCAATAAATATTTATGGACTCAAAAGTAGTGACTGAATGGGCAGATGGACAGGGCCGAGTAATGAAATGAGGTTTGACCTTGTATATAAATACAGATAACCCACTCTTCAGTTTTCGTACTTTAAAAAGGTTTGGTTTAAGCAAGTGCTGAAAACACTAGGGACTCACTATCCATAGAATGCTGTTCCCTGTGACTCGTGCAACCTAACATTTTTCTTTCCTCCAACAAAAGAAACATAGCCAAGGTGGTGAGCCAGGTCCACGCATTCCAGGAGAACCCCTACACCTTCAGCCCCGACCCCAAGCTCCAGTCATACCTCAAGCAAAGAATCGCCCGTTTTAGCGGAGCCGATATCTCCATTTTAGCAGCAGACAACAGGGCCAACTTCCACCAGATGTCCAGCGAGAAGCATTCCCGGAAGATACAGGACAAGTTACGAAGAATGAAAGCCACATTCCAGTAGCTGAGGACATGGGCCTGGGTGTGGAATTCCAAATATGGACCAGACCTGAGAGGTGGCAACTTGGGGTAGAAAGGAGCCTCACCCCAGGGCCACCTGCCTGCTGCGCGGGGCCCAAACGTCCCCCAACAACTTGGCTACACGTGTTGTTGGCTCCTCATTAGGAGCCCTGAGCAATTTTTGAGATTTTGCCATTTTCAGATCAGGAGGTGGAGGCTCACAGGGACGCACTCTAGGCCACTCCACTGGGAGAAGCTGAATTGACCTCTTCTCAGTAGACAGAGCCAGGATGGGCACAGGAGCCTTAGAGGTTGATGTGTCCCTGCTAGAATTTAAAAATTAAATTTAAAAATTATAATGAAAATAGAATAAGTAAATTTCCTAAGAGTTTCAAACATATCTATACCTCTCAGATCAATGACTCTCACCTAGTTCTCCAATGACCTTCCTCTATCCACCCCCAAAAAAATACTCAATACCCGCCCACCTGACTCAACAGATTTTAAACTTAGTTGCTCATTGAGCAGTATTTTTATGAGTCTGGTCTATGTCCACTCAGCAACGAAGGACCAAAGCTCTCCTCTAACCCCACATGCCAACCATGGGCTTCAAGAGGTTCCAAAACTTTCCATAGCCTCTGAGGCTTCTCAATGATCTGAGCCCCTGCCTGGGTTCAAACTTCCGTTCACTCCCACACCCCACCCCCAACTCAGTCCCATAGGTGCCCAGCACAGCTCAGCCATCTCAGCCGAGTAGGGGATGCAGCCGCCTCAGTGCCCAAGCCTCCCAGCACCACCCCAGTCCCAGCCCAGCCTCACAGTTCCAGCTCCATGCCGGTAGCCTCCTCTCCCCGTGGCCTGGTACACCACCACCCCTCCGCTTTGAACAGCTCCTGGTGAGGCAGATCCACCATGCAAAGGCTCTGCTTCCCAGGGAAAGGACAGAGGTCACCAGTAGCGACTCCAAAGCAAAGATGCCATCTCAGTGGGGCCCTGAGGGCATCCCCTCAATGCAGCTCATGGCCCCAGGGGGCCGCAGGGCTGCCCACCCGCCTTCAGCAGCCCTGCATGTGCACATCTGTGCCCCTACTTGCACACCCACTGTGTTCCTGCAACTCGACACCATCACTAGTGCTTTGTCAGAAAAGGACATGAAATTTGCTGCCTCGATGGTGCCAAGCCCTTCCCCAAGGTTCCTAGTCTCTAAACAGCTAGGACAGAGCATTTGTTCAATGAATGTAGGAAGCCCCTCTGGTCAGGGGAGGAACAGAATGGGACTTTTAGCAGCAGGGAGACTTGCCTGGTCAGTTCCCCACTGGCCTCTCCTGACAACAGGGAGGCCACACCTCTTGGCGTCATCCCAAGCATCAGCTGTTCATTCTCACACTGCAGACTACAAATTACACAAGACCCAAGATTGTTCTTTTGAGCTATAGAATTAGTGATTCTTTAGAGCAACCAGCTAGTGGTATTTCTAGGAAAGCTGTTACTTGTGACAAAACGCTGAATTTTAATGTCAAGATGTGTTTTCCCACATAAATTCATCGGCGACATCCAGGGCCTGCTTAAATGTAATATACAAACACAGTAGCCTAGCCGTGAAATGCGTTTCTTTTTTTTTTAGGCTTTTATATGAGGATTATGTTTTGCTTATCAACTCTTACATATCAGATTTTATATCTAACGAAGATAGTGCCAGGCGCAAATCAACATTTCAATGGTGACAACTTATTTTGTGGGGAAATGACCGGGCTTTTGGCTTCAGCACGACTGTTTGCATGGCACCCTAATGTCACGTGGTACCAATTTCTAAATAAAATCATTTCTACCAAGCCGCTTCTGTGTGGCCCCGTGAGTCTCCAAAGTGATGCCTGCTTTGTAGAGTAAGGAGGTCTCTTCCGTAGCCAGATGACATCCACTTTACAGGTGCTCAGAAAGTCTCAAGGTATGAGACCAAATATGGTCAGCCCAGCACTGAAAACGAACTGCTGGACCAGAACGTCCTTGGTTACACTCACGGCCTCAGCGGCATCCAGAGTAGGGCCATGGTCACACCAGGAAAACAGAAGCCCCCAAACCCCCAGGTCAGTGCATAAGCACACCTATCTGGCTGCTGAAGAAAACACGTGCTTCTGGTGAAGACTGCAAACTGCCGAAAAGAGCTGACTCACTGGGACTGTGAGACCACCACTCCTGACCCAAGGCTGTTCTACCAAAAGTTCGGCCCATCTGAAGCAGTTCCTACCTGGCAGCCCAAATATCACAGGCAGCCTGTGAACAAGACAGAGCTGGTCCCTTGCTCGCCATGGTATGTCCTTGCCAGAGCTTTGACCGAATCTGAGAGGGAGACTGGATGGGGACACTCATGGTAGCTTGGTGGTGACCCCTGGGAAAAAAGCCTGCTGTAATAGCTTTGATTACAGCAGAGGAAGGAGTTCAAAGGCAGGGATTCAGAGACTTTGGGAGTATCGACTATTGATGCTTTTTATAGAAGAGTTGATGGGTGTTCTTGGAAGTTCCTGTAATGAACAATACTGTTATCTGCCTGGTTGGGCAGGCCCTGGAAGAGTAAAGTTATGCTAATGAAGACAATGAAATGGCAAAGTTATGTTAATGTGGTGGAAAGCTGCTACTGGTAGGTGGTTTTGGTGTCTAGGTCTTGGGGGAAGTGGGGATATGTAGTGGTTTTGATCCTGACCTATAATTTTTTTTAAGAATTATTTTATTTATTTATTTATTTTTAATTTGGCCAGAGAGGGACAGAGAGAGAGACAGAGGGAAAGTGAGAAAGCAAGCCACCAAGTCCAGGACTCGAACCACGGTCATGTGGGAGTCCAGTGCCCTCAACCACCACGCCACCTGCTGGCCCCGGTCCTGACCTATCTTAAAACTGCTGAAACCCTAGTCCTTTCCATAGCTTCCCCCCTACTGAGACCTTAGTAAGACACTATGCAGTCAGGGATCTAACAAACTTAGCTCTGCTGACCAATGGACTTTTCTTCTAGAGAATGGACAGCCAACAATCCCTTGAGCTCCCCAGTAAGTTCTGTTTCCCAGGTTCCTACCCCTATGCAATCCACTCCTTTGCTGACTGGAGCCTGGCTCTGTGTACTGTGCTTGAAGGAGGCTGCCACCACACAGAAGGTTCAGCTATCCTGAGACCATCCCCATGGGAGCAAGCCCAAGGTCACCACACAGGGCTGCATGGAGTGAGAGCTACCCAACCAGCCTCAGCCATCCGAGTACCCTCAAATGCCAGTCAGAGAAGGCCTGAGGGACTTTTTTTTTTTTTTTTTTGAGAAGTTTTTGCTACAGGGTGCATGAGCTCGCCAGACAGACAGAGAGAGACAGAGAGACAGAAAACAGAAAACAAATCACCTCCCCGGGGGGATGGCCACACCGCAATCCCTTCTCCTCCGTTCTCCTCTCGGGATCTCGGGCACGCACACACACGCGCCCGGCATGAGTTTTAAGCCACCGGGTCCGGGATGCAAACCGTAGTCAACTACATGGGGGTCCAGCAACATAGCCATTACGCTAACTGCTGGTCCCCTGAGGGACTCTGAAAACAGCCAAGCTGTAGCTCCAGAAACAGTGACCCAGGCAAGCCCACCCTGGCATCTCCAGCCAAGGGCCACCCTTACCTGTCCCAATCATGAGGGATACAGATGAATCGTTCCTATTAGGATCCTGACCCATAGAATCTCCCACACAATAAAATGGTGATGGCCTTTTGCCATTGTTTTGGTTCATCGGATCATAAGAGATTACTAGAATGCTAGTCATATAATGGTAAGGTGATTAGCTCCCCTCTGGAAATCAGCTTCCTGCCTGTAAACACAGGTTTACATCAGCTAGCCCACTGAGTAGGGCGAGTTTAGTTGTCCCCCGCTACCGCTGCTGATATTTAAAGCATGCTACAGACACAGTGGGCACTCTCGCTGGCTGTGCTGGGTTTGAGCTGTTCCACTCTCCACTCCTCTCTCCCTGCCACTCCAGCCTCTCTGACCCTTTCACAAAATTTTAAAACACACCGGAGGGTCCCAGTTTGGGCCAGGTCATGCCTGTCCACTGCAGTTTTCCAAGGCATGGATCCACACCATCAGACCCCCTTTCCCCATCCTGTGTCCTAGGGTGGGTCTGTCCTTAAAAATCACCATGACTCCATTAACAAAAACATCCCTTGGCCACTCACCCCTTCTCCCAGCCCCTGGCAATGACTGATATGGTCTCTAGCCCTACAGTTTGGCCTTTTCCAGAATGTTCTATGAATGGGGCCATATGTGACCTTGGGCCTCTGACTTCTTTGACTTAGCAAGACTTTTTAAAATTTTTTTGCTATGGTGTGCATGTGCTTGCCTGAGAGAAAATGAGAAAGCACCCCCACCCCCACCCCAGGGGAGATAGCCATGCTGCAATTCCTTCTCCGTTCAGGATCCTGGGCACAAATGCTCAGAGTGTTTTTCAAGCTGCCAAAAATGGGACTCAAATTGCACAGTCAGCCATGTGGGATCTAGCCACCTTAACCACCACACACCACCTGGTCTCTTAGCAAAACGTATTTAAGATTTATCCCTATCATTGCATGAATCTAGTCAAGGAGTATTGTATGGTTTGATGCCTACAGTGTATTCATCCACTACCTGTTGAAAGGACATCTTGGTTATGTCCAGATTTGGGCAGTTATTAATAAACCTGCTATGAACTATGTGGGATTGTTTTTGTCTTGACATGTCTTTTAACTTCTTTGGGTAAACACCAAAGACCGTGACTGCTGGATCATATGGTAAAAGTACATTTGGTGTTTCTGCGTGTGTGTGTGTCTTAAGTTTATTTTTTCTTCTATGAGCAAGAGAGAATAAATTCTCAATAGGGTCTTGACATAGTGATCCACCCCAGCTTCTAGCCAACCCCAGATCATAGGCATGTATGTGCCTGGTACCCAGGAAGATCTTTGGACTTGAACTAGGAACCTTCCCATGTGGGACTGTCTCACAGAGCATAGTGTTTTACCACTACACCACTGACTGACCCTAAGAATGTTTAGTATTACAAGAAATCAGCAGACCATCTCCCAAAAGGGCTGCACCATTTTGCATTCCCACCAGCAATGATGAGAGCACTTGTTCCTCCATATCCTCGTCAGCACTTGGTGGTGTCACTGTTTTGGATTTTGGCCATTCTGATAGGTGTCTAGTGGTATCTCACTGTGGTTTTACTTTGCAGTCCCCCAAATGACAAATAAGTTCATATCTCTATTTGGCATTTATATATTTTCTCTGGCAAAGGCCAGATCTTTACTCCACTTTTATAGGGTTATCCTGCGTGGTAGAGAGGGGCAGATACATAGTCTGTGCATTTGCCCAAAACCCACGGAAATGGCACAGTGGTAAAAAGCATCTATATGACAAAGTTGCTGTTTCACAGCTGGAGACGTCCCTCAGTACACCAGACACATGTGCCCATGATCAAGGTTGGCTGAGTCTGGGGGATGGGTTGTGATATCAAAATACTGTCAGGGATGCTGTATTTCTGTACTTCTCTATGTATCTCTCCCTTTCTCACTCATGGAATAAATAAATAGATCTTTTTCTGTTGTTGTTGAGAGATTTTTGCTACAGGGCACATGCGCTTGCCGAAGAGACAGAGAAAGCGAGAAATCACCCTTGAGGGGGGGAATGGCCACACTGCAATCTGTTCTCCTCCCTTCTCCTCGTGGGATCTTGAGCAGGCATGCACACGCACCTGGTGTGAGTTTTTTAAGTCACCAGGTCTGGGACTCAAGCCACGGTTGACAACATGCGAGTCCAGTGATATAAGCATTCTGTCATCTGCTGGTCCCCTCCATGGTTTCATTTTATTAAGATTTATTTATTTGGGACCAGCAGATGGCATAATGGTTATGTCACTGGACTCCCACGTAGTCAACCATGGTTTGAATCCCAGACCTGGTGACTTAAAAAACTCACTCCGGGTGCGTTTGTGTGCATGCCCAAGATCCCAAGAGGAGAAGGGAGGAGAAGGAATTGTGGCGTGGCCATTCACCCCAGGGGGTCATTTCTCGCTTTCTGTCTCTCTATCTCTCCCACAAGCACACACGCCCTATAGCAAAAATCTCTCTTAGGGAAAAAAAAAAGAAAAATGAAACCATAGAGGGAGCAGATGCTTCGACAGCAGAGAAAATGTGATGCTCTGTGGGGCTAGCCCCACATGGGAAGGTTCTGGGTTTGCTTTAGGAGACCTCTTGTGTAGGTCACGTACTCACATAACCATGATCCAGGGCTGGCTGACACTGGAGGCACAGACTGCGGTGACAAGGCTGTTGGGAGTACTGTCTTACTATCTCTCTCTCTCTCGCTCTCTTGCTCTTGGAATAAATAAACATTAAAAAACAAAAACAAAAACACCATAGAGTCTGAATGGTCTTCCTTAGGTTTCAATTTGAAAAACCTTCAAGAAGTACTCTGATTAGTTGAGCTTGGGTCAGATGTTTGCCCCTAGACCTGTCAGTCAGCAGTGACTGGGAACAAGGTGACTAAGGGCAGCCATCAACTGGGTCTCTCTCCCAAATTCTGGTCATTTTCAGAAACAAGAATCTTCATGAGCTGGAAAGGCACCCCAAGAATTCTACACCTTTATAGGCAATAAGTTAATAACAAATTTTTGGTTTTTTTGGAGAGGTTTTTCCTACAGGGCGCGTGCGCTCGCTAGACAGACAGAGAGAGACAGAGAGATAGAAAGCGAGAAATCACCCCCCACGGGGAATGGCCACGCCGCAATCCCTTCTTCTCCATTCTCCTCTCGGGATCTTGGACACGCACGCACACGCGCCCGGTGTGAGTTTAAGCCACGGGGTCCGGGACTCGAACCGCCATCGACTACATGGGAGTCCAGTGACATAGCCATTACACTAACTGCTGGTCCCAAGTTAATAAAAAATTTTATAAAAAACCTAGAACTATCCACCACAAAGATCACCTTTACTGAAAGCAGAATGTTGAGGATCCAGGATAAAATGATGCAGACTTGGGACCAGCAGAGTGGTTGCATTGCTGGACTCACACATAGTCGACTGCAGTTCAAGTCCTGGACTCAGCAGCTTAAGACTCACACCAGGTATATGTGTATACATGCCTAAAATCCCAAAGGGAAAAGAGAAGAGAAGGGATTGCAGCATGGACATCCTCCCTGGGGGGCAATTTCTTGCTTTCTGTCTCTTTGTCTCTGTCTCTCCAGCAAGCACACATTCCCTATAGTAAAAATCTCACACACACAAAAAAAAGATGCAGACTGTGACTGTAACTAACTGTAACCACAAGTGGGTAGCATCACCCTGCTGGAGAGAGTGGAGAAAGGGGCTGACCTGAGTAACTGTGGGAAAATGTAAGGCCCAAAGAAAAACAGAACTGCACATAAACACTGTTCCCGAGCTGGCAATCCTGTTCCTCAGAGGGGCTCAGGTCAGCCACTTCTGAAGTTCTGAAGCCAAATCCTAAAACATACACACTATGGGTGAATAAAACATATATTGTGGGACCAGCAGTTGGAGCAATGGCTATGTCGCTGGACTCCCATGTAGTTGACCACGGTTCAATTCCCAGACCCCGTGGCTTAAAAATTCATGCTGGTCAAGCATGCGTGTGAGCCCAAGATCCCAAGAACAGAATGAAGGAGAAGGGATTGCAGCATGGCCATCCCCGCCCCCCAGGATGTGATTTCTCGCTTTCTGTCTCTCTGTCTGTCTCTGTCTTTCT